CCCAGAACCTCGAGCTGGAAGTTCGTCGTCTGGAACAGGTGCTAGCCAAGATGCATGATGCCGATGGTGGTTCGCTGGTCCGCAACTAGAGGATCGTTCAGCTCCAGGAAGTGGGAGAGGAGCCTCGAGCTGAAATTTAACGGGTCAAACTGTCGACGGGTCAAGCTGCAACGGTACCTCGACTTGCAGCGGACCAAGACAGCACTGACCAAGCAACGCATCGAGGCGGAGAACGGATTCGTGTGCTCTCAACGCCAGCTTGAGAGGCTGGAGCACAAGGCGTTCGACCCAAAGGCCGCGAGCCCTGCATGCTACACTGAGGGGCTGCCGACCTTCCTCTATGAGCTCGCGGTGCACTCGGAGATGCAACGCATCCAGCCTTCCAGAATGAACCAGCTCGCGCAATCCTCATTCAATTTCTACACCTGGGCCTCTTGGAACGGCTACTTCAGGAGACAGCTGCGGAGTCGCCTCCATGGGATCAGGCACGCGTTGAACGGCAAGAGAGGCCAATTCTCCATGATGGTGGACCTGGAGGAAGCAGTGGGCAGTGTGTGTGTGTGTGTGTGTGTGTGTGTGTGTGTGTGTGTGTGTGTGTGTGTGTGTGTGTGTGTGTGTGTGTGTGTGTGTGTGTGTGTGTGTGTGTGTGTGTGTGTGTGTGTGTGTGTGTGTGTGTGTGTGTGTGTGCGTGGGGGGCGCCCGGGCACCTCGCCGAGAAGAACCTAGGCCGCGCGCGAGCTCAACCAATGACCGAGGAGGCTATCCAAGCAAGAAGTGACAAGCATCGGAGGCGTCGGCAGAACCGAAAGGCTTAGCGCCACTCCGAGCAGCTCGAGGAGATCGAGGAGGTCGAGGGCGAGGATGATGGCCCGAGCGATGGCGACGACGAGCTGGAATAAGTAATTTCGGAGGGCGCAGGGCCATTTGGTGGGCGCCCTGGCGTATCATCGGTGGCCGCGTCTACGGCGACAACGTCCTGCAGCAGTGCAGGGCGCCCTGCGAGGCCTTCATCGAGAAGAGAGCCATCGCCGATGGTCTGGCCAGGTCGGAAGAGGGGGAACAAGAAGATCTGGAGCCGACTCCAGAGGTGCCGGGGGGCGAAGCTCCAGCGGTGAGAGGAGCCAAGAGGCCGGCGACAGGAGCACAGCGTCCTCGCGTTAACGTCTACCTCGCTGACCACGCCGCCAGGGAGACCGTTGAGGAGACAGCCGAGGAGGGCCCCGTGGAGAAAAAAACTCTCCCCGAGACCGACGTGCGTCGGGGCCGTCGGTGTCTACGTCTTGTTCTCCGACGACAGCAACCGCCTCGATGTCTTGGCCCATCGTCGGAGCCCCGGGGTGAGCGGTTCGAATGCGGTCGCCGCTCCAGGACGACAAGTTGATCGCGCCGATCTGAAGGTTGCTCACGAGCGAAATCTGGACTGCGGTTGCGCTGCCAGGCGCGCGGCAAGTCGGGAAATGAGCGAAGAAGCTGGACTGTGCACCCTTGTGAACGACTTGGCGGAGATCCACGGCGACAAGACCAATAACCCGCTTCGCACGCGTCGGGTAGGTCTACTTGGTACCGCCCGAGGTGCAGGGATCGCAGCATAGCTCTCGCAAGGAAGAGTTCTACCTGGGTGTTCAGGATCTAGGTTTTCCCGCCTGAGTCATCTACCGCGCCTGGGTCGCCGTGGAGGACCTCGTCGCTCTGCCGCCAGACCTGCCACCGGCATGCAAACAACGGTTGGGCTGCATTCTGAAGGTGGAGAAGGAGAGGGTCCTGCAGATATGGCGGGGCCTGAGGGAACATGCGGAGGTGCTGAAGAACGAAACATCTGAATTCGAGAGGAACGGACGCTGGCCAACCGACGATGTGATCTATTACCTGGTATCACAGAGCCGTGCTCAGCCGTCCGCCCAGAACTTGAGCTTCAGCGAGACCTTCAACGACCCCGCGTCGGAGATGATGGCCGTGCACCATCAGTGCCCGAGGTGGCCTGCTTTCCGCGTTTGGCTGAAGTTGCTGACGCAAATGCCACTTGGCATCGCTCGGAGTCTGGTTGAGTCGTGCAGCGCGTTCGAGCGCGAAGCGGCGCGGGACTACCTGAAGAACGGAGACGAGACCGGGGACTACGACAACTTCTACGCATACTTCCAGGTGTGCACGGACGCCGAATCTTGTGTCAGAGTTCGTCGCGATGCCATTCCACGACCTGCCTCGCTGGGCACCTTCAGCGCTGGCCATTGCCCCCAACGTGAACTGCGACGACCTTCCGAGGATCGGTAGAAGCCCGCGGCATCGTCCAAGGGAAAATCAGCAGATGATGGTCGACAGTTTTTTTGGGGGGGCTGGTGACAGACGGCGAGATGGCCATCGAGGGCATCGTGGAACATATCAGGATCCTCGGCGAAACAGGCGGAGGAGAAGAAATGACACGCAGACTGGAGGACCTCAGCGAGCTGAGCGGCGCAGTGGGTGCCCTCATGGGCTCTGGCGAGAATCCCCCGCCAATCGGCGGATCTGTCATCGAGGCCGTGAAGGCGGTGGCGACAATTGACCATGGCGCCGCTGCTCCAGGACTGGACAGGCCTCCAGCAGAGCAGGGTGAGATATTTCTTAGGCCAGAAAAAAATGTACGTCAGTGCTGACTGGATGAAGGCCTGCAAACTCTCCAGGAAGAGCAAGGTCTTCAACAATGTGGCGAGCGAGCGCTGGAAGGCGAGCCGCGAGGTCGAAGTGGCGAGAGACCGCCTACTCGACATCCGCTTTCAGTGCGACTGTTTTGGTCGCCTTGGCTCCGGCAGCTCAGTCTGGGGTCGAGATCCCCGTTTTACTCGTGAGCATAGCTCGGGACTCATCGACGGTCCTCATGTCCAGGGGCCAGTGGCGTATCCAACTGGACAAGTTTGGATAATGGATCTGACGGCGATATGTGCTCGGGAGATGCAGCGTGACGAGGAGTTCGGCAAGAAGGAGGCCCAGATCGAGATTGCCTATCACGGTGCCAACTTGGTTGCATTGGCTTTTATTCGGAGCGAGAAGGGGCTGTCTGAGCTGAATCCAGGACCTTCGAGCTGTGAGAACGTCTGCGGCACTTTCTATGAGAGGACGTCTCGCCGCGCCCCAAGCGCTCGCTGCGTGGTGCATGAGTCGTCGGACGTCAGCCCAGAGATGAACCTGTGCCCTTGCGTCTTCGAGGTGCGAGTGGGTCGCCGCCGCCGTGCAGGCTACCCCGAGCAACGTGTCCGCGAGCAGTGGTGCCAGACCGAAGGCGGCGTCTACATCGAGGCGCTCTGGATCCACGCTGCGGCGATGAGGGGGGCCTGGGGCAAGATATGGGCGAAGGGGCAAGTCTTTCGATGGCGCGCGGTCTGGAATCGCACGGTCAGGATGCACCTCGCGGCAAAGGCCTTCCCGACGGCGTTGCCGAGTGTACACGCGTACTCAGATGAAGCGACCGAGGACTCCGACTTCCCGATTTCCGACGTCAAGCTGGTTCCCATGGGCGAGAGGTTGGTTTCTCAGTTGATCAAGGAGCTCAGCGCGGCAGATCGTTTCTGGGAGCGCACTGGCAAAACATGCGACCGCCGTGGATCCGAACCACAGAGTTTCATGGGCCAGATGGGGCAGGCAACGGACGCGCTGGAATCGGATAAACTCGTTGTCGTGACGGACTCGAGTCAGACAGTCCGTTCAAGGATGTCTCTTAGAGGTGCTCTCGAGTCCTCCGTGTTCGTGAAGCTAAGCTGTACCAGCAGCACGTCACTGGGGCTCTGGTAGTACATGGAATGGCTACGGTGTCTACTGAGGGAAGAATTTCATTTTCTGAGGCGAGGCGGCGCTTCGGTTGCAAGAAGGTAGGAACAGTGGTTGCAGAGCCCCTGTCAGCTTCTCCTCTTCCTCCTGCGCCTCTCTCTGTGCTCCCTTGTGCGCCGCTATATCGGCTCACGGGGGCTCTCGAGCTATCGTGGCGCGCCGGTGACGGATGCGCCCACGCCTCCGTAAAAAGGAGAGAGAACGTGCTTTCTTTTAGCACGGGTCCCCCTATTTGTACCTCGTGTCTCTCTATATATCCATGCAGTCACCGCTGCCCCGTTGACAGGCTATCCTTTTGGGGTTGGTTGAGGCTTCCTCAGTCTTTGGTCGGTTGGCTGTGGGGGGTCCTCGTACGGGAGCCGTGATTCTGGAGGATCAGAGGTGGCACTTTGTCGTCTGCCATTTTCTCTTGGCGCAGACATAGGACAATTTCTTTGCTCCGTATCCAGGTAAACATTGAGTGGTGCACGATCTCTCTTCTGTTGCTCCTTCATACGAGAAGCGGCCTTTCTGCGGCTGATCTGGAGCTGCCTAGGATATAATCAGACATATGTCGTGTCATTCGAACAGACTGCCAATCTGTCGGTCTACCCGCCCATTCGCTTCAAATCAGGGACACAGCTCAGTTGTTCCCTGTTCGTTGGGATATACTTGAGTGAGGGGTTCGCAACCATCAGTAAAGAGCAAGTTGATCGCTTGTGCGCGTTCAGAAGGCGACGCACAGGGACTACTGGGCATCAGAACAGAGCGCTCGCGAGGCGAGCGAATAATGCAGCAATGAGGCAGGATAAGGCGGCGTCAGGCCCCTGGCAGGGCGGTTCGGTCCGCACCCAGACTGCTGCAGTTGACGTGGTGCAGCGAGAGGGCCTCCAAAACATGGCTGGGAAGCTGCAGAGTCGTTGCCAAGGGCTGGCGCTGCCGCCTTTCCACATCTGCTCACTGTTTACGTTGCTCGCGTCTCTCCCTGACAGGTCATGGATTCCTGTCCGCCCTTCCCCGCGCACGCCTCCCCCGCCCCCCCCGAAGTGAACCTCCAGCGAATTGGACCTCGGGCGAGCCTTTGGGAACACGACTGGTGAACCCGCCACGTGCCAATCGCTCGAAGACAGCTTCTGCTCCCACCGCAAGCGCCTTGCCGCTGCTTGCTTCGGCGGCTGCTCCGCCGCCCCCTGCTGGAGGGTTGCGCGCCGCGCGCGCGGCAGGCCCTCGCTGCGATGGTGCAGGCCTCCCTGCTCAGCTCCTCCGACGCAGGTATTCGGCCCCGCTCCCCTCGCGCGGCCCGCGCGTTGGCCTCACGGGTGCCCAGGGGCGGCCTGCGGGTGGCCCATGCCGCAGGCACGGGGGCAGGGAGGCTTCTCAGTCGCTCTCCTCCTCGCTGGACCTTCCACTGAGCCCCGCTCCTTGAGGTCATTGGGTGTTCGGTGTGGGGGGGGGGGCCCGGAGGAAGGAGGGAGGCACAGCGGGAGGGAGGCAGGCCCTGGCAGGAGCGGTGCATGCCTGCTTGAGGTCTCGTCGGGTGCGCGCAGGCCGCACCCCGAAGTGCACACGTGCTCTCCTCGTTGGCATCGCTCGGACGTGTGCATTTTTCCTTCGGCGAGGGCCATCGAGAAGCATCCTTGATCTTTTGGCGAAAAAACCACGCACGAAACCGAACAAAAACACAGGGAATGGACGTCCGAGCGATGGCGGGCACAGGCGAAGAGGGCCAGCGCGGGGCCGAGTGGGCCAAGAGGTGCGGTGCGGGGGCCGAGGCAGGGTGCCGAGGGAGTGGCCGAAGGCGCTCGACGGGGGGCGGGGAGGAAGGGGCCCAGGCGTCCGACGAGGTGACTTTGCCAGGCCGTGGCCCCAGAGCTCCCGACCGCTTCCCGAGGGGTCGTTGTGCATCCCAGGTCCACCTCTGTTGGCCCCGGGGCCCGCACCCAGAGGCCGCAGTGGAGGGAAGATGCCGCGACAGAGGACATACATGTGCTGGAGGCCTGGGGGGCGAGGACGGGGCATGGGCTCGAGAACGGGGCGACCCTGTGGGAACAAAAACACACACAAAACACGCACAAACAACACACACACACAAACACACAAAAAACACACAGTGTGTGGGAAAAACACACACGTGGGAAAGAACACACACAAACACACACACACACAAACACACAAACACACACACAGTGTTTTGTTTTCCCACAGTGTGTGTGTGTGTGTGTGTGTTTGTGTGTGTGTGTGTGTGTGTGTGTGTTTGTGTGTATTTTTCCCACAGACTTCCGACGTCGTGATTCTTCAGAGCGTGGACCTCAGGAGGTCCGAAGCTTCTCCCGGGGAACGGCTCTTCTCATCCTCAGCTGTTTCCGAACGGCTACACCACACCGCTCACCCTCCAGATCTTCGCCTCCGGCTCCTGTCGAAGGCGTTCATTTTCCTGTGCAAGCTCCTCGGCACCGCCTGCACCCCGGCTCGCCCTCCGGCCCCCTGAGGCCCCGCCCGCCTGTGCCGTGTCTCCCCAATCAGAGCTGTGCGTAGCCCGCCTAGCTTTTACCGGAAGAGGTTCGCTCTCGCCCCGCAGGCCCTCCCCCCCAAAAACTGTTTCTGAACGGCTCCAGGGCCCCAATAAGGGCCACCAGAGGCCGCAAACGGGCAAACACCGCCAGTTGTGCTTTTCACCAAGCTTCAGCGGCTTCGTTGCACCCTGGAGGCAGTGGCGATGACGGTCCCGCGGCAGGAGAGCTTGCCGACTCCCCAGTCGCATCTCAAACGTTGGCATCGCGTCATTGGGTTAGGTATGAGGGAGATCCTGGAGGCCTCGCGCGGCGCGCATTAGTTGTACTATCTAGTCCGCACGTATGTCCCGTCAGATATGGGACGACGTTCGCACGGCGACGCTCCGACTGAAGCCCCACGTGAATCCGATGGGAATCCGAAGCAACCCGACGTGAACCCGGCACCAATCCGACGCATGATCGTTTTCTTATTCAATCGCTTCGCTCATTCCGTTGGCTTTTTTTGGGGCAGTGCAACGTCGAGTGGCTGAATGGTCGTTGGCGGTGTTGAGCTGCAGGGGCGTCGGCTGTTTTCTGAGGCGTTGCGTGGAGCATGATGCTGGGGCGATTCGTTTGGATTTCTCGGGAGTTGTCAGGGGAGTCGGTCGCTTTTCGCGGGGCGGCTTGTTGTGTGGTGCTTTGTTGGACTTCGGGTGCCTTCGTGAGGGTTTACTGGTCGTGGATGCTCACTCTGGTGCTTGTCGATGGTGCGCAGGGGACATTTGATGCGGCGGTGTTGGGGTCTCCTGGCAGGTGTCGCGGAAGCCTTTTGGAGGCAGTTTTGAAGCTTCTTGAGGCCTTGTCGGGGCCGTTTGGGTGCCCTGGGGGCCTGATTTTGGGCTTCTCGGGGGCTTCTTGGGACTTCTGGGTGCTTGTTGGGAGCCTGCTGGCGGTCTCGGAGGGGCCCCTGGGGTCGGAAAACTTCAAATGTCATGTCGAGTTCCCCCTCTGGGGGCGTCTTGGGCCCTCTTGGAGCCCTCTAAGGCCGTCTTGGAGCCCTCTTGGGCCCTCTTGGGCGCATCTTGGGGGCATGCTGGGCCATCTTGGGCCGATCTTGGGGGGCTCTCGGGCAGTCTTGGACGCTGTGAACCTCCGAACGTCGTCTATGCCAGAAATGTACGTTTTCCGTCGGAAATGAGATGCTTTTTGCTTGTTGGGGCCTTCTTGGAGGGCCTCTTGAGGCTCTCTTGGAGCTTCTCGGCGGCGTCTCGGGCCGTCTGGAGACCAGCGTGGGTATCTTGGAGCAATCATTCGGCGACTCGGGGTCCCTTGGACCGTCTGGGGGGCGTCTCGGAGCCTTCTTGGCGCGTTCCTGGAGCGCTCTGGGAGGCCCGGAAGGCAGCCCAGCCCTCTTGGGTCGTCTCGGAGCCCTCTTGGACCCTCTTGGGCGCATCTTGGGGGCATGCTGGGCCATCTTGGGCGCATCTTGGGGGTCTCTTGGGCAGTCCTGGACGCTGTGAACCTCCAAACGTCGTCTATGCCAGAAATGTTCGTTTTCTGAAGGAAATGGGACGATGTTTGCTTGTTGGGGCCCTCTTGGAGGGCCTCTTGAGGCTCTCTTGGGGCTTCTCGGCGGCGTCTCGGGCCGTCTGGAGACCAGCATGGGCATCTTGGAGCAATCTTTCGGCGACTCGGGGCCCCTTGGACCGTCTCGGGGGCGTCTCGGAGCCTTCTTGGCGCGTTCCTGGAGCGCTCTGGGAGGCCTGGAAGGCAGCGCCGAGGAGGAAAACCATCTCTGACCTGCTCGGGGTACTTTTCGTCCGGGAGCCCCCAGAAGCCGCCCCGCGCGCGCGAACTAGATTATATTGTTGACAATTTGCCGGAGATCTCAGCACGCCTCTGGCCTGGTGGGCCGGCGAATTCATTGTTCTGCCGATCGGCGCGGGCCCCCAACCGCCCCCCCCCCTTGGAGTAGAACTCGGCTGATTTTTGGTGCTTGGTGCGCCCCCATGGGGCGCACTGTTGCAAACAGACGCAGCAAGCAGAGGTCCGGAGCCAGACCCCCCCTCCCCCCCTCCCTTTCCGCCCAATGTCGCAACGCCGAGTTAAAAAGCGCTCACGACCCGACGTGCACTGGGCCTCAGGTTGCTGCCAGGACTTTTCTCATGAGGCTTCGCTGCGCTGGAAGACAGCACGCCGGTCCTGGAATTGCCCGGAACCAGAGGATTTGGACGCCCGAAATGGGTACGGAAAGAATGGGTACAATGCCCAACAGCAGTTCCTGTCCATTCTGAACAGGACTCGCTGTCCGCGCCGCCGCGGCCTGTGCCCATTCGAGATAGGAGGCCGCCCGCCCAACAGCGGCCGCTGTTGGTTTGGGACAACATTTGTTGGACACTGTACCTCGGCGACGACGACGGCGACATTGTACCTGGACGACGACGACGGCGACGGCGACGACGACGACGACGGCGACGACGACGACGGCGACGACGACGACGACGACGACGGCGACGGCGTCCAGAGAGGAGGCCCGGGCCCGGGGACGGGGCGGGCCCGCCCAGCGCCGCGCCGCCGGAAGGCAGGCTCACCGGCCTGCTGCAGCAGATGCAGCAGTCCGGCGAGGACGGCGCAGGCTCGAAGAAAGCAGCGGCACAAGTCAAATATACACCCATAAGCTTTATCGGGGGCGGCAAAGAGGGGGGTGGTGGCTAGGGGGGGTGGCTAGGGAGGGTGGATATTTCCCCAGATCTCATGGCGCCCCTTCTTGTTTCATGACGTCCCTGGGGGCCCGCTGGGCCGCGCACGTGCCGCCGGTCATGATTTGCACCCCCCCCCTCTTGGACACCCCCCTCCTGGCCGCTCCCGAAGAAAGCAGCGGCAGAAGTCAAATATGCACCCATAAGCTTTACCAAGAAGAACGAGCTTCCAGATCAGAGCCTGAGTTCGTGGCCGTATGGACCGCTTTTTGATCATACATGCTTATGCTCGCCGGCGTAGACTCCACGCATTGTGTTTCCAGCAGTATGTGTTGTGCCATCTAGGTGGAAGAATGTATGTGGTGCAGTATACATGTGTGGCAATCTGTGTTTGCGATCGATGTTGTACGATATGTGTTGTGTAGTTTATGCGGTGCAGTCTAGGTGGCGCAACACATATTGTACAATATGTGGCGTGCAATCTATGTTGTGCAATACATGTGGTGCACGCTGAGTGGTGCAACATTCGTATCATATATATATATATATAAAATGATGCAATCTATGCGGTGCAATTGATTTTGTGCAAACTATGTGGTGCAATAGACGTTGTGCAATCTGTGCGGTGCAATCGATGTGGTGCAAACTATGTAGTGCAATACGTGTGGTGCAACCTATGCGGTGCAATCGACGTGGTGCAAACTATGTGGTGCAGTGCAGTGTATGGTGTTCAATCTATGCAGTGCAACTGTCTTGGTGCAGTCTTTGTGGTGCAATCTATGTTGTGCAATTGACTACCCTGCATCGCGCTTGACCGCCTCCACTGCTCGCGCAAACATCTCACCCACCCACCCGCAACTTGGTTTGCAAAATCTCTTAAGACCGTGACGGTGGGTACCAAATGGCACTTGGCAACGACAGCGACGCCGACGACGACAGCGACAACGACGACGACGACGCCGCCGACAACGACTACGACGACACCGACGACGTCTCGACAACGACTTCGACGACGCCGACAACGACGACGACACCGACGACGACGACGCCGACGCCGACGACGACGACGACGATGACAACGACGACGACGACGCCGACGACGACGACGATGACAACGACGACGACGACGCCGACGTCAACGACGCCGACGACGACGACGACGACGACGGAGGCGACGACGACGACGCCGATGTCGACGACGACGATGACGACGACGCAGACGCCGACGACGACGACGGAGACGACGACGACGTCGCCAACGAAGACGACGACGAGGGAGGAGGGAGGACGACGACGGCGACAGCGACGACAACGACGACAACGACGAGGGAGGAGGGAGGACGGCGACGGTGACGACGCGAACGACGAAGAAGGAGGAAGACGCGAACGGCGACGACGCGAACGAACGACGGCGACGCGAACGACGACAACGACGAGGGAGGAGGGAAGACGACGACGGCAACGACGACGACGACGACGACGGCGACGAAAGAGGAGGTTTGGAGGATTTTGGCATACTCGCGCGACGACGCGTGCGTCTGCACTTAGTCACTTTTTTTGCAGAGGATTCTCGCGACGGCACACGCGCAAGGGCGTTCGACAGATTTCGACATGCGCGCGCGCGAAGCCCGTTTGGTAGCATTTTGTGAAAATCTTGAAAAACTTATGGTTTTCTCAAGATTTCGCAAGAGCTCGCGCGTAAGCTTTTTTAGCAAATCAGTGTTGCGAAACCCGGTGTTCGTGTATGTGTTTTGGAAACTCGATTGCGAAATCCTTCCGACACCGAAGATTTTTGAAGGATTTCGGCATGCGCGCGCGAGGACGCGCGCGTGTGCACTTCGTCCCGTTTTTTGCAAGGGATTTGTGACAAAGTCTTATGTTATAACAAAAAATGTCCCCGCGCATTGTTTTGCACAAGTGAACCTCAGGGGGGCCGATACCGGTTCCCCGGGGATAGTGTAAATTCATATTTAGGATTGACATGCTGTCAGAATCATATAAGGATTTTACATACCCGAAAGGGTGACCGATAACGCCGGGGGGACCAACGAGTTAATCACTTTTTTAGCGCATCCCTCACACGGTTCGTGGCCCTTCCTCCTCCTCGTCGTCCTCCTCCTCCTCCGTTTTCTCTACCCCCCGCAACTTCTAACTCACATCACGTTTCCCGGGGAAATCGTTGATTTTCCCCGCCAGACCCCTGAGATTTATTATCTGGGGGTGATGATTATCTGGGGCACAGGGTTAAACTAATCTCTCTCTCTCTCACATATATGTATGTATATATATATATATGTATATATATATATATATATAATATATATATATATATATATATATATATGAGGGTTTCGATTTTGCATCCCTTGCGAACCCCAGGGTTTTTGAGTGATTTCGGCATGCGCGCGCGACGACGCGCGCGTGTGCACTTTGTCCAGTTTTTCGCAATGGATTCTGAACAACTCACGATTTTTGATAAACGAGAGTGCGCGCATAGTTTTTTTGCAGTGGATGAAGGGGGGGCGTTACCGGATTGGCTGTGATGAAACGAGTTCATACTTAGGATCGGCGGTGGGGCAGAAACATGTGTCCATTGCAATACGACAAGGTGAACGGTTAAGTCCGGGGGGGCGGGGGTACACCCAAATATTATAATTTCTGTAAAGGGGAATCTAGGCGGCGACAGGGTGGCGACAAGGCTGCGACGGCGAAAACGGAGTCGCCAGACCGCCAGCCATGCCCAGACGACGGGCGGCGACGAGGCGGCGACGGGACGGCGACGGCGTGCACGGAGCCGCCAGACCGCCATCCAGGCCCAGACGACGGGCGGCGACGATGCGGCGATGGGGCGGCGACGGCGAGCACGGAACCGCCAGACCGCCAGCCAGGTTCCGATTCTAGAAAAGACAAAAGAGCCCTTAAGTGCAAGCACGCTGTTGGGCCGAAAAAAGTAAGAACCCCAAAGTGCAAACACTGTCAGGGGAATCGTGGAGTTTCAAGATCTGGGCCAGTAGTTTAGAAAACGGGACTTGCAGAGTTTGTCTTCTTGGGCTGAAGTTCTCTTCATTGTATTCTCCGTTGTAGGCTTTCGGAGCTCCGCGCGGATTTCTTGGATCCCCGCTGGGCGCCCCTGGCGGCGCCTCCGGCGCCGCCCCTAGCGCGCTCCGCGCGCCAGTGAGAGGGGGCTTCCGGCGCCGATCCGAGAAGTCCGCGCGGAGTTCCGAAAATCTCTATTCCTGCGTTCCTTCTCCGTTGCCCCAACGCACTAGCATTACGTGTGCGTCGCTCCTCAAGAGGCGGCGCGCGCGCCGAAAAACCTTCTAGTACAACTCCGTGGCGGGTGCTTCCTGGCTGTACCGCTCGGGAAGCGATCCACTGCGAGACGGTTATGCTTTGTTCTCGGGTCGGACGTGCGCTTCCAATTACTGAACCCTCCCCCTCTCCCCCAAACTCAACGTTGGCACGCGCGGGGGAGACTGCGGTCGAAGTGCATCTCATCAGACCGACCGCCAACCTTGAACACTGGGGGGAGGGGGAAGCGTCGACGGATGAATGTGGCATGTGTTCGCTAATTTGTTTCGAGGCCTGAATCTAGCTTCACTTCCCGCCCACGATCTGGGTCACCTCCCGTGGGGCGCGAAGAGCGCCTCGCGCACCGCGGCCTGGGCCGGGGCGGCTGCCCTTCTCCCCAGGGAGGAGGAGGAGGAGGAGGAGGAGGAGGAGGAGGAGGAGGAGGAGGA